TTGCCTGTCTGTGGTGGGAGCAAATCTAGAACGATGCCCTCCTGAATAACTCCTCTCCAGTTATTGTGTTTGGTAGATCTCTGTGGCCATGAAAAACCTCCTCAGCTCCTTCCCCCATGGCCCAGTAAGTCCATTTCAATGAAAAATGGCCTCACTCTCTAGGTTAGGTGTGCAGGGAGAGACCCTGTCTCCACCAGAGGATTCTCTGCCCACAGCTCACAGCTCATGACCCATTTTGGTGTGTGGGGGAAAGTTGTTTCCCACCAAATGCAATCAGCAAGAAGAAAAATAGGCTGAAAGAATGTTTCCCCAAAGTCCAGCAAACTCCCCAAACCAATTCTCTATCTTCTTGGCAGGAACTCTACATTTTTTAAAAGACATATCTGAAAATTACAGAAAGGCATGGAGTCCCTGCCCATCACATAAATGCACAGTTCCTGCTGAATCACTCAGAATTGTGCTGCCCTGGACTTCGCCAACACAGTCACGTCTGCACAAAAGTCTAAATAAAATCTGTGTGCAAATCAAAGAAATAAATTTCATGAGTAACTAGGAATTGTTAGTTTTTGTGGTACGTTTGCAGCTTTTTCTTATGCTAGCACTGTTTCCTGAGCAGACTCTGTAATATTCCACTTGAATCCCTCTAAGCTGACAGGAGAGCGTGTACTTCGCAATCACAGTGATTCATGCAATTACATGAGCCAGTGCAGAGTAAGGGAGTGAGAATCCCTAATCTAGAACATTAGCACTTATCTGTTAAATGCTCTTTTTTAACATACTGCAGAACCATCATCTTATGCCTTACATAAGGTTCTTCAGGGACTACTATGACAACAGCAGTGCTGAAAAGCAGCGTAATGAGACACCAGGAGCACTGGGAGCAGATCACACCAGAGCAGCTCATTACAACTATTTCTTGTCTGACCCCAGAAATAAAATCACTTGTGGATGCTTTTTTAATGCTGAAGTTCTTTGTCAATCTGTTTCATTTTTATTAGTATGTTCACTATATTTCTGTTTATACACTGATTGTTGACTTGGTCTGCAAGATTATGTAACTAAGACTAGAACAGTGGGGCTATTCCCAAGGGATGCTAATATTCCTGAAATCATGCCAGAGACATTGCAGTTTGTTGATCTATTGGAAAGATCATGGAGATGAGCTACCAGAATCATTTGTTGGTGACAAAAATGTTGCTGCGTAGTGAAACAACATTGTAGAATTTGTTCCCAGCCTATTTCACATGGAAGGTGAAAATTCCTGATATTAGAGGGTTTAATATCATATGCTGGTCCAGATCAGTGAAATTCAAACAGGAAATGAGGTTTAAAGAGTTGGAGAAGTTTGCTGAGGGAAGTTGTCCTCATTGTTGTAAGTCAGTGTTTGATATCTCTTGGGAAAAGTGCTAGTTTAAAGCACAATCTGTCTCTACATTTTGGATTCACCAATGAAATTTACGGATTGATTTGGTAGGAATTCTAATCCCAGCATCAGCATTTGTGCTTAGCCTTTTTAGAAATGAGTTTATTTGACGTCAGAAGAGGCCAGGCATGAGCACGAGCTGCGTGGATGCCGCCGCTCTCCTCACCTGCTCCCATCCCGGGGCAGAAACGTGCTGAGCTCTCGGCCAGCGCCACAAGTTCCCACAAGCAGCACCCCATGGACGTCCCCAAAGGCAATCCCACGTGAGAGAATTGCATCTCACAGCCTGAACTGCCTCTCATTTTCTCCACATGATGCAAACCGCTGCCCGTGTGATCCAGCCTCACACGGGGGTGCTCAGACTTGCTAAGCCACGCACACCTCGGATCCCAGCTGGCTTTACAGTCTCCCTGAGAGCTGCAGGTGTGAAGCCTCCATTTCTGGTAACTTGAGGAGGCACTGGCCAACTCCAGCCACATCATAGAGAGAGGCTGGAAACTTAGAAGTTATTTACAAAAATATTTGCAACTCGAACATAAATGGTGGTTGAGTAAATGCTGGGGACCCAAATTAATCTCAGCAGAAACGGTCTATTCTGCCTTGTGTACAGACCCCAAGACAAAATGATTGAGAAGAGTCTTGGGCTGCTTGTCAACCTCTACTTCACTGAACATTAATTATTGACCTAAAGCAGAAATGTTGGATGAAATAAGTGCTACATCCCAACTCAGGGTACAGCTTAGGAATTTATTCTTGAATGACTTATGTGTTTGGGTTATTTCAGGCACTACAGGCAACTGATTTGAGGTCTTTCATACCTTTGCACCTAGACTATACATTTCTATACATCTAATATAGAAAAATACATTCTTCCTCTACAAGAGTGAGCAAGTTTTTACCATTTTGCTGAATCAAGACTAATTTTGGATATACAGTGTCAAAGATTAGACAAATTAGATATTGTCATTATTAAGAGAGTTTTTAGGCCAAAAAGATAATTCTCCTGTCTCGCATTACATGCTTCTTCTCAATTCTTTTATGAGAAAATTATCTTTTTAGATAGCTGATGTATTCACATTCATAGTCTTCAAAAATCTGTAAATTCTGTAGTGCATTATCACTTGAATATGCCAAATAATTACTTGAATGCCTACTCATAGATAGTCTTCAGGAAATTGAGGCTTTGAGAGGAACCAGAGACACCCACCAACTTCATTCATGAGATGGGCACTGTGAGGATTTACATTTAAGACACATTGTGGATTTTTACTACTTTTGCAGTAAAACATTTGTAATGACACTGAAATTCAGAAAGTCATCTCCTCAACTTTCACCTTTTCTTTAAGAACAGGGAGGATTGAACAGGAATTAATTAATATCCTAATACAATTTTGTTATCACCTAAAGGTCATATAGATGTGAATGGTCTTTTCTGATAGCAAACCAATTTTAGCACAAGTTGGTAGTAAGAATATTCACATTAGGGTGGTGTCTAGTAAGTCTGTAGCATCCCCATTGTAATGTATAATCCTGCCCTTCCAGGCTCAGGACTGACAGCCTTTCATAAATTATACTTTTTATGTCAAATGTCTTTTACAAGAAATGACTGAGTCTACACAAACCTGCACAAAATTCTTCCCTTCCCCCTTATTATTTCTCCTCAATTCTATAGTGTTTTTAGAGGATCAGGAGGTTTAGAGTTGAAAGTAATTATTTATTTTTGAAAGTTCTGGACACCTGGAGATTGTGAAAATAATCATTCCCGGCTTACATTCATTTTAGTTTCTAGGGTACAAACAGAATTTAAAATAAGCTAATCCCTTCACCTGGTTTAAACTGCCAGTGCTTCATGCAGCAACATGAGTTTGCAACAGCTAAGGATACATCCCAGTTATTTTTAATCCTTTCACGTCAAAATTGGCTTATCCCAATTTACTTTTAAAGCATCCTTGGAGTAAACCCTGTTTACCCAGCCCATATTTGTCTTGAGTGCACTTGTACGAAATAACCCTAAGCAGCCAAAAAGGCCACGTTTTTAATGAAAACACCTCCAGACAGATGGAACCCCCGAGGGGAGGCTGCCAAGGAATCGATGTGACAGCTCCTGCCCAGGACTGAACGAACGCGAGCGCGCGAGAGGCTCTTCAGCCACGCTCACACTCGCCTCAGCCAAGGAACCAGGCTGGCTCAGGGCTCCAGGAAATGTGGGATCTGCAAAGGCTCGGCCTTCCCTGTTGGAACAAAAATGTAAATTGAAAAATCGGGCAAAAACGGGAGCTACTTGTTGAACGGGACACGCTGGAGGAGAGGGGTAGGATAAAGGGCACAGAGAGGTGGAAGTAGGAACAGAGAGGAAGGAAAAGGGATAAAAAGGGAGTAAAAAGGGAGGAGAAAGTCAAAAAGAAGCATAAAGAGTTGTAAAAGTAAGGAACATAGAGAAGAAAAGGAGTGAGAGAAAAAGAGAAGGAAGTGCTGCACGTTTTTTAGGATGTCCGTCTCTCATAGACGACGGAGGTGCCCAAAGGTACCACCATTAGTGGTTAGGCTTTGGTTTGTGCAGAATTTCAGTGGTGTGCATGTAGAAGCAGGTGATCACTGAAACAATGAGAGCATGGCCTGCCATTTGTGCTGGAAGGAGCCGGTGGGGCACAGCTTCTGGAATGGGGCTCTCTGCTCCCAGTGCTCCCTCTGCTCCCCATCTTCCCATGGATCTTTGGTGGGAGCCAGCCCTGCTGAAGTAGGGAGCTGTCTTCCTCTTGTGCCCCTGGGTGCCATGGGAGCCAGGAGGGCTTTGGCAGAGGCAAGGACTGCCCGTGGCAAGGAGGGGAGAACCACAGGAGAACAGGAATTCAAAAGGCTTCTGGGCTTCCAGCAGGAATTGGGATTGGTCCAATTCTTACCCAGGCTCTGGGGTACTTTTGATGCTGCTCTGTGTCAGACAAGATGAACAGAGCCTGCATGTCCCCGCATGGCCAGGCCCACAGCTCTGCCAGGTGTCAGCAGAGGCTGGGCTGAGGTCTACAGGTGCTTTCTGTTCACAGAGGGAGCAGGGGTGACATTGGGTCACTGGCCGGGGAGCAGAGGGAACAGGGACATGGGTCCCTGCTGGCTCCAGTGGCTGTAGGCTACCACTGCCCCACTGTGGGGTGTGCTCTGACTTGCTGTGGAATGCTCCCAACTCATTGCATGATGTCCCCAAAATGTTGTGGGATGTTTCCCCTCTAAACTGCTGTTGGATGCCTCCCTGCTCCCTAATCTGCTGTGGGACGTCCATAGCCAGCCTCGGGATGAACCCCTAGCCCTCCTGAGGGACATCTCATACCTGCTGCAGGGTGTACCCCAGCCACCCCGTGGGATTTTCCCCCAAGCCCTGGGAAGTTCCCCCAGCGCTGCTGTGCGATGTGACCCCCTAAGCCGAGGTCCCCCAGCCCTGATGTCCCCAGCAGGCTGTGGGATGTTCCCACCCCTCCCGCTGCCCGCAGCCGCGCACCTGGGTGCGGTGAGTGCGCGGCCGCGGCGCTGCCGGGCGGGGGTGACTCAGCCCCGGCTTTATAACGCCGGGGCGGCTCCGAGCCCCGCTCCGAGCCCGGCTCCGCTGCGCCGCTCCGCGCCCGCGGGCAGCGCCGGGGCCGCGGCACCGCACCATGCGGAGCCTGCGCGGAGCCCCGCCGCCGCTGCTGATGCTGCCGGTGCTGCTGCTGCTGCTGCTGCTGCCCGCGGGGCACGGAGCCGTCATCACCGGGGTGAGCGCCTCCGCTCGGCACCGACGGCACCGACGGGACCCGGCACCGGCACGGGCCGAGGGAGGGACGGGGGGACGGAGCGCTCCGCCGCGGGGACGGGAGCCGGGTTTGTTCGCGGGGAGTGAGAGCGGGAGAAGGGATGCCCGGGGACAGGGGAGCGCTCTGCCCTGCGGGATGCCCGGAGAGAGGAGCGCTCTGCCCTGCGGGATGCCCGGGGACAGGGGAGCGCTCTGCCCTGCGGGATGCCCGGGGACAGGGGAGCGCTCTGCCGTGCGGGATGCCCGGAGAAAGGGGAGCGCTCTGCCCTGCGGGATGCCCGGGGAGAGCGGAGCGCGCTGCCCTGCGGGATGCCCGGGGAGAGGAAAGAGCTCTGCGGTGCGGGATGCCCGGAGAGAGAGGAGCGCTCTGCCCTGCGGGATGCCCGGGGACAGGGGAGCGCTCTGCCGTGCGGGATGCCCGGAGAGAGGAAAGAGCTCTGCCCTGCGGGATGCCCGGGGAGAGAGGAGCGCTCTGCCGTGCGGGATGCCCGGAGAGAGAGCGGAGCGCTCTGCCCTGCGGGATGCCCGGGGACAGGGTAGCGCTCTGCCCTGCGGGATGCCCGGGGAGAGCGGAGCGCTCTGCCTGCGGGGTGCCCGGAGAAAGGGGAGCGCTCTGCCCTGCGGGATGCCCGGAGAAAGGGGAGCGCTCTGCCCTGCGGGATGCCCGGGGAGAGAGGAGCGCTCTGCCCTGCGGGATGCCCGGGGAGAAGAAAGAGCTCTGCCCTGCGGGATGCCCAGAGAGAGGGGAACGCTTTGCCCTGCGGGATGCCCGGAGAACGGGGAGCGCTCTGCCCTGCGGGATGCCCGGGGAGAAGAAAGAGCTCTGCTGTGCGGGATGCCCGGGGAGAGCGGAGCGCTCTGCCCTGAGGGATGCCCGGGGCTGGTCTCCGGGTGCGCCCCGGTGGGACTCAGGGTCTGTCCGCACTCAGCCAAGCCGGGACGGAGCGGTGTCGAGCCCGGTGACGGATGGCCGGAGTTGGGATAAGTGATAAAGAGGACGTGGGAGGGAAAGCAGAGCCAGGTGATGAGAGGTGACAGGACTTGGGGGTCCGTCTGGGATAAGTGATAGCGGACGGGGCATCTCCAGGGATGAGGGATGCCCGGAGCTGCGGGTCGGGCTGGGTTCAGTGGTATCACAGCCTGGGGGTCCCTGCGGTCAGTGTGCCAGGATGTGTCACTCTCTGCGGTGGGCAATGCCAGGACTCGTGGGTCTCTGAAGTGGGGGGATACCACAACGTGGGGTGTGCTCCTCTGGGGTGAAGGATGGCTGGACTCGGCGAGGGGGGGGTCTCCAGGCTGGTCCGGGAGCATGCAGAGATTCCTGCTGCTTTTCCAGGGCTGGAGCTGTCTCCCATCTCCCCACATGCAGCCCCAGCTGTCCCCAAACCTGCTCTGAGAGGGTCTGGCTCAGGGTATTGCAATGCCCACTGTGCACCCCAAGTTCCTCCAGCCCCTCTGTGTACAGAGCAGGATTACAACCCTCAGAAAACTCTTCTCCTTTTTTTCCCCTGTGTCTATGACTGTGCTGCTTTTTCCCCTCAATAGCCACCCCTTGCAAACAAGTCTCTGTTGTTGTTGTTTTTAGGCTCAAGATTTACTCTGGTTGTGAAAATACTTTTTTTCCTGAAGATGTTATTTAACCCAAAGCATTGCATCACTTTTTAGTTAAATGATTTTTTAAGTGTTTGCTTTGGATTAATAGCTCAGCATTTGCATTCCTTTGAGAGCTCACATGTCTTTTGTAACTGTCAGAAGTTGCACTCACAGCAGTGGATTTCTCTGTGGCTGTCCAGGCTCCCTGTCTGGACCCCTGAAGTCCATAAAACAGATCATGGGCATTATCTCTGGAAGTTAGATCAGTTCCCAGCACTGATTATTTTTTTAGAGCAGAGAATGTGAAGGAATTTTTTAATATTTGAGGATTTCAAAACATTTCCAGCAACAGAAGAGCAGTTTATATGTTATTATATTTGTGCCTACACCTTTAAAGCATAATTAATCCATTAAATAAAGTAATTGTGAGGCATTGAATAACAGATCAAGTACAACGTAGATTCAAAAAGTAAAAATAGATTAGAACTAGAAAACGTTGCTCTATTAACTACTGCAGAGCATTTCTGCTTGAACCACTTTGATGCATTTTTGGCTTTTGATGAACGGGCAAATCTCAGATGAGAGTTGACGTAGGTGTTCCCCAATCCCTGAGCCTGAAAGGTGTTTTTCCTTTGCAATTTAAGGACTTGTTTCAAACTTTCCTCAATTCAGTGGTTGTTCTTGTGCTGACACCTGTTGCCTTTGCAGCTGGCATTTCACCTGGGACATATTTTTGGGCTGATCTTCCAGAAAACTGTGTTTAAATGAGGTGCTCATGTGGTGCTTGGGGAAGTTTAGGAGTAGCAGCAGGAATTACACATTACAGATAAGGTGTGGGCAGGAACACTTGGGTTGAATATTTTCAAAACTTGTCATACATTTTTGGAAAGGGAGCCTTAAAAGTTCTGCCAGATGTAAATATGTGTGTGTGAGGCCAGGAATTGTTCAGCCTGGACGTTCAAGGCTCTTGCTTGGCAGAACACACCCAGATTGGTTTTTCAGCTGAGTAGTATTTCACCCCAGGACCAGTCCCACAGAGATGGATGGAGTTTGAGATATATAACTGAGAACAAAAGGGAGTCAGGAGCTGGCAGGTGAGAAACAGGAGAGCCTGTGACTCCAGCTGGGCAGTGGACACCGCTGTGCTGGGGGTAGCCAAAATTACTGGACCTGCATTTTTATTTGTGACTAAGGCAAAATAATATCATTAAAGTGCTTTTTTAATTTTTTTTTTTAATAGAGAGGTCAGAAAGTGAGTATTATCTACCAGGCAGGCTGGAGTTGTAGTTTTATGACCATATTAGTTTTAACAAGCAAATGCTCTGTGTTTGGGCTTACCTGCAGCACAGAGCTCTGTGTTTAGGAGCTGTTTGGGTCACACACACTATTTAATAATGATCCTAATGCAACAGCTTCTTCCTAAACCACTGACTGATCTTTACACATGTATTTTGATCTGGCTTCTGCTGGTTAGTGCAATATTTACCCAGTGAGTACAGTCTAAAGCCATTTATCATGTAAATCCCAAGGTAAGATCAGTGAGTTTTTCCCTCAAGAGCATGTTTACTCTGGGAATGTGCCTTCCCCAGAGCTGTTATCAACATTTACGTATGTTTTTATGAGTTTCCCATTTACGTAGTGCTGACCAGTGCCTTCCATCTCTCACTGCTGCTGCCAGACGTCCAGAGCAGTGAGTTAATCAAACTTACATTGAGATGTAAGCAGAACTTTTAACTGATGGCATTTCTCACTGGAGAAAGCAGACTGGTTTTTGCATTAAATCTATATAAGCTTTTGATTAAAAAGTGACTGAAAGATGTACAGTAGTTTGTTTTCAAACCCTAATATGTCAATTGCTCTTCATGGTTTGTGGGTTTTAAAACATATCCACTAGTTTGCATTTTGGTTTTTGCTTGTCTAAGCTGTACTGGGTAAGTGGCTAAAATATTTTTTTGCTACCACAGCATCATTTTTTTTTTTTTTGGATGTGGACACTTATGCAAAGCTTTTCTTAAGACCTCTTTTAGCTATGTGTAATTCTATACAACAACCTCAGAATCCATATTTAAACTTGTGTTTTAGCTACTTCCACTTGGACTTCTCTAACAAAACTCTCATGCAGTCTTGCAAGGGCACTCACAACCATGATATTATCATGTGAAGTTAGAAGGAATAGTTACCTAGAAGTCATTAAATTAATGGGTGATTTCCTATCTTAGCTTCTCCGTAGGACTGGTTTGGTGACTCTTTTGGTGACAAGTTTAGTGTGGTTGGTCTTTGCTCCTGCCTGGGAGCTGGGAAAGCGAGTGGCACATGCCACGGTCTATCAGTGCTCAGAATTTTGGACTGTAAATCACTGAAAGTCCTGGATTTGGCCCAGAGCAGCTCTGTGTGTGGCCCTGGCTTTAAACAACCTGGTCTCAACTCCAAAATGTACCAGGAACCTGCACGTTCTAATCCATGGGAGACACAAGTATTGCAAATCAGCCTTAAATCTTATTATTCAGCCTTAATGAGCCAGGATAACTTAGGGGTGCCAGAGGCAGCTCCTGAACACCTGATCTGTCCTATTTCTGGCCTACATTTATTGTTCATTTAATTTGCTGGCTGCTGTGTTGACCTCCAGGCCTGCGAGCGGGACCAGCAGTGCGGGAGGGGGATGTGCTGCGCCGTCAGCCTCTGGATCCGCAGCCTGAGGATGTGCACCCCGATGGGAAACCTGGGAGATGAGTGCCACCCCCTGAGCCACAGGGTGAGTACCTGACCGTGCTGGGGGGGCTGTGGGGCTGGGGGAATGTCCTGAGCTGTATGTCACACGTCACAAAACCCAGAGGTGGTGGGAAGGCAGGGAAACTTCCTGCTCCTTACAGATTCCAGCCACCCGCATCTGTATGGGAGCAGAGACGAAGGTACCTACGTAAGGAAGTGCATTACTGTCAGAATTATGCTGAAGAGAATCAGAGGATGAAAGCACTACACGCTTCCCAGATTGTTTCCTTATTAGTTTCTTGTTGCTGCTTTGTTTTGTTACGTGATACGGAACAGCCTTGGCAGCTCCCAAGCCCTGCCCTGCCAATCCTTGTGGTGTGAGCAGGAGCACAGCAAGTGCCACCAACCCCAGTGGCAGTGGACAAAATCCTGTCACAAGCATAAAAATGTCACCAGTTGATGCGTTGAGAAAGTGTTGGCACACATTTGGACTAGAGAAAAGTCCCCACAGGCTCTTTTTGTTTCTGTTCTACCTATTAATTTTAAGTATATATGTATGCATACATACATACACTCACACTGTATTATTAACACAATGATTTTAACAAGTGCGTTTATTTAAGGCTATGTAATTATGAATTTGTTATGCAGTATGGAAAAAAGCTGCTTATTTAAAACACAAAAGACTGAATAGGATGTTACCAGGGAGCTTGAGAACCTGATGATCTTCAGACTCATCCTCAGGGAAAAGCACAGCCCAAGAGTCATCACAAGTGGAAGATACAAGGCAATAAATTCAGATCATAAATGTGCAGCTAGTTAGCTGCCTCTCTCACTGTTTCCTCCAAGGCCTGGCTTCTCAGCTCAGTATCTACAGTTTATTTTCTCAGCTTTAGGAAGTTTCAGGCTCTACTTTATTGCAGTTAAATTTTTAAAACTTCTGCTGTGATATTGGGGACCAAATGATCATTTTTACTATGTAATGTAGCAGGTTCTTCTTGTAAGAGCTCTTTCCATTACCAGGAATTAGAATAAGAGAAATTGTCTTCTAGAGGGTTTTATGAGTTTACTGTTATTGGGCAATAATTTAAACTGTCTGATATATTTCAAGCTGATTGCCTGCATAATTACAATCAGAGTAAATGCCTGTCCACCCCATCCACTAAGTCACTGATGTTTATAAGCTTTATGAGGTTAATTTTAATTTCTCCACTGATCTTCCTGAGAAACACAAACCAAATTGATTTTCTGGAGAACATGAAATGAGGTTATTTTAAGGATGGAGGGTTATCTCAGTGGTTCCTCTCTTGTAAATACTTGTGTAGGGAGCAGCTGGGTGCCCTGACCACCAAAACTTTTCATTTACCTGCAGGAGAGGTCAAAAGCAGGCAGCACCCTGGCCATGGCACCTCAGGGACATCCAGAGGAGCCAGGAAATAACTGGAGGAGATGGCTGGCAGCTGGGGTTCCACCTTTTAGTTTCCTTCTCAACAACTAGATGCTGATGGACTGATGCCATTAGCAGTCCCAGCTGGAATTTCGAGGCTGGGTCTGAGGCAGGGCCAGGCAGGGTTTGCAGGCAGGTGAGGTTTGGCAGCATGGGAGTCCTGCTGAAAGGAACATTTCCTTGCAGCAAGTGGAATGTTTTGAATAAATCACCTGGGCTGTCAGAAGGCTGAGAGCTCAGGTTTGGGCTTTGGCTGCAGTGCTGCGTGGGGGCACCCAAAGGGATGATTCCCACGGGGAGTCCCCGGCAGGTGTGGGAGTTTTGTTGCCTCTCTGCTCACACTGGAACAGAGGTGGGTGGCACAGGGAAACCCCTGTCATCCCTTGGCCTGGGGCTGCTCTTCAGAGGGTGCTGGGCAGGAGGCTGGTGCTGGCCAGGGCACTGCAGGGAGGGTGAGCCCTCTGTCCCTAGGGTGCCACTGGAGTCAGGCTGGTGCTTGGCACCATGCATGGAAGACTGTGTGGGACTTCCTTAAAGACAAAATTTGTTCACCGACACAAGAAAATCTTGGGATATTAAAATTGTAGGCTTCAACCCCACAGAAATCTGGTAGTGAGGGAATTAGGGCTGCCTGCCTGGCTGGTAGCAGTGGCTTTCTATCTCTGTGCCTCCTTTGCTGCATCCAGGGAATCCTCAGGGAATGCACAGCTCCCAGACACTTCCCACTGGGCTGTCCTTTTTGGCTCCTGTAAGAGACAGAGCTTGTGACCAAGTTGTTGAAGATTGTCAGTGCGTGTGCATGTCATGGCACAATTAAATTTCTCTAATGAACTCCATATGTGTTCCCTGCAGCACAATGTGGCTGGAAGAGGGTGGGATGAAATGAGAACTCTCTGCCCTGTGGTGAAAAGGATCCTGCTCACAGGGAGGTCAGGCAGGGTGACCTCCAGAGGTCCCTTCCAGCCTGATTACCACGGGATCCCAAGGGTCTGTGCTGTGTGACAAGGCAGGATTTGGGACACGCAGAAAGCCCTGCACAGTGGCACCCAAAACGTGATGATAAAGGCCAGTGTAGTTTCACAACAAACTCCTTTATGAAATGGGAGTAAATGGAGAACATGTGTCACAGATGTAGATCTACACAGCAACATGACTGTTAACATTCTGCTCTTAACCATGGCTGGACCAGGGCGTGCAGATGCCTTTGCCAACTGCTCTGTGCTGCAGCTCGTGGGGAGCTCTGGCTGTGAAGGGAGGGAGCTGGGCAGCATTCTCCATATCCCCATTATTCCTCCCATTTCATCCCCCCAGCCACCAGTGCCATGCCTCTCCCTGCCACTGATTGTGGGAAATAATAAATATACTATTAGCTAAAAAGTTTTTAAATGCTCTGTAACAGAGATATCTTTGTCTGCTGGCTGTACGTGAGCTTTTGCCATCTCTCCATTGTCTCAGCCATGTAATGGGGCTGATGCTGCAAATAAAACTCAAGGAATGTACCCCAGCAGTTGTGAAAAGGAAAAAATAACCATGCCAACAGCAGTGATGTCCTTGCTCTGTCCCCAGGTGCCCTTCTCCGGGCGGAGGATGCACCACACCTGCCCGTGCCTCCCGGGCCTGGCCTGCCTCAGGACTCCTCACAGCAGATTCAGGTGTTTACCAGACTTCAGAAAAGAAGACGTCTTTTTTTAGCAGGAACTGTTCTGCACTAGAAAGAGCCGCTCAGTATTTTCGTTCTCTCGTTGTTGTGACAAAAAAAAAAAGGGAACTTGCCAGGGGAAACCCTTCACCACACTTTCCTGCCTCACCAACATCAGCTGGAGACGAGACACTGCTGCTGTGGCCAAGGTTTTCAGGAGGGACTCGCAGTGGAGGATGATTTCATTTTGGGGTAGCCAAACAACATTTACTAGAGCAAAACTCTTTCTGAGGGCAGGGGCTGTACCATTCCTGAATCATTTTGTGGGCTTCATGGTTCTAGTTTAACCCCAGAATGAAAAAATCCAAGTTTATTGCCAGTTTTGGAAAAATTTGGCCACATCTTTACACTTTGGAATACCTGAAGTGAACTGAGAGTTGGATAACTGCATAGTGTGAAGCATATGACAATTGCCAAAAGAACTGTATTTATATTGCATTTCATATCTTTATTAATATAATTTTATTTGTAAGTTAGGCGCACCTCTAGGGTAAAGGTTTAACCAATAGATGTAGTTTTTACACTTTTAAAAAGTGGCAAGTGTAAACAAAACATTTCAGTATTCAGAGCATTAAAAGATTTTGTTATTTTAGTGTTCTAAGATGAGAAGTTGTTGTTACTTGAATTGGTGTAAAACTACCTGGTCATCTCAAACTATGTATTAAGATGTAGTTTATATTAAAGAAAAAAGGAACCCTGAAGTTTATTGTAATGGGCTGCCTGACTTCTTGTATATGTATCAAATTTGCTGTGCAAAAATTCTGTATCAGAATAATGGCAGTGTATGATTTGATTTATTTTAATATTATAACATTATTTTGTCATTGTGGTTTTTCATTTTTATTCAGTGTAATCTGTTATCCCACACTTGATTCACCCAAGCTAGCAGAGCTCCTTATGGATAGCTTAGCAAAAGATTATGTGCCTCTGGCTGCTTCAGGGGAAACTTGTAGTTTACAAGGCATGAATTCCTCAATCAAGCTGCAGTCTCAGAATTTGGAGGAATCTTGGTGTAAATAATACGAGAGGCTTTTCTTGGCTCGTGCCTCAAAGGATCAACTTTAGCCCAGCAAACATAAGATTTGTGGGTTTTCTATGAAATACTGTGTGGCTTCATATTTACTTGTCAGTCCCCAGAGCTGGAATTCCAACAGTTTGTGTGAGATTCACATGTTTCTTGCTCTCAGACATGCAAACATATGCTGGAACTGGAAAAGTGAAGTCATTCATCTTTCAACAATCAGTGCTTTGCTGCTGGTGGAGATGGGGGGCGGCTTGGAGAAGTGAGCACACTGTGTCAAGGCCAGACCTGTAAAACTGAGAGGAGAAAAATCCCTGTGAGTAACCAGGTACCTTCTGCTGTACTCCACAACCTTCCTTGAGGGACAGAAAAGAATAACTGGATTAGGTATTGCCAGATCCTCATGGATTCTGCATGTTAGGGAGATAAAAGTCTTTAGAGAGATTGTATCCTCCTGGCTGAAGACAGCCCATCCCCAGGGTATCCACTCCAGTGCCTCTGAATTTTGCCTCCCCTTTTGCAGTGGTGATACTGCAGCTGTGCAAGTGGTGACAGAAAAAAAAAAGAAAAAAAAGACTGAAGTGCCACTGAAGGGTAATTTTACATCTGGTTTGCATTAATGTGATCAGGTACAAAGTGCCTGTATTATATCTGAAGTCTCAGAGGGGCTCAGTGCTAACCCAAAGGGCTGGTGAAAGGCTAAGTCATTTATTGAGTTCAAAGTGACATGCCAGCACCACAGAAATTCCCATAACCTGGATTTAAAACCAATCCCCAAATCTGATTCTACCATTGTCACTAAACAGGGGGACTCCCCAAATACCCTGTGCACCCCCAAAGGCTGGGTTTGCACAGGAGGAACACGCTGGAAGTGTGGGGGTTGCTTTTCTGTCCATGCCTGTCCCCATAAAAGACACTCAATACCATGGACTTCAACTTACACAAAATCAGGAAGAAAAATAGAAGCAGTCCAAATATGCATGTGTCCCATCTCTTGCTCCATTTTTTAAATAAGAGCATAACAGATGAACCACAGGAGGAAACAGGAGCCCTGCTCCTCATCTCCTGCTGGCCTAATTCACCAGTGACCCCGCTGGAGGCAGCAGCCCTGGCTTCTATCATTGTAAAAGAGTGGACAGTTATACCTAAGGACTGCCTCAGACCTGCCAAATCCTAGGAGAGTTTATCAGGCAAGAGCAGAGCAACTTTATAGCTGTAATTTGTGCCAATTAACTTGTGGGATTAACTATTTATCTGGGTAATGAGAACAGCCCCAATTACACGAGTTCAAAGCTCACACCATCTTTAGCAGGTGGAAATTCCTGTGTCCTGCAGACACTCCTGGGCAGGGTATTGGGATGGTGCAGCTTTGAGACATGCATTATCCCATCCTTGTCCTTGAGGGGCTTCTCCACACCTTCCCTGCTGATGTAGGAGAGATAAAGGCAAAACCTCACTGTCCTACATCCCCACTATATTCACTTGGCAATAATTATTACGATTCTCCTTTTAGTAATTGAATTTCCATTAATTGACATTCACAATGGAGGTTAGTTGATTTGAGAGAATCATTCTGGAAGGAAGATTAAACTTTTGCATCCCCATTATTTCCTAAACTCTGCCCTAATCAATTATCTTTTCTCTCATCCTCAGGGAGATTTCCTCTCCCAAGCACACCTGCAAAGTCCCTTTAATTTCTGTCTGCAGTGGAAGGGGCTGGGAGGGCACCCTTTATCTTTGCTTTACACTGATAATAGGCAAACCAGCGACCACAAGTCTTTCCAAATGGCCCTGCAGTCCTCTCTGCTTTTCCCTGGAGCCAGATTTTGTCTTGAGGAGCACAGCAAATTACTCAGGGTGACCCACAGGAAAGGCGGCCAGCCTCAAGCCAACTCTGCCACAAAAAGTTTCTGCAGTTCTCTGTGCTGTTCAGTTTGCCCCAGAATCAGCCTGGAAATTATCTCAGGGCAGGGACAGCTTCCTCACCTGCCTTGAAGGAAGGAAGGAAGGGGGACAAGCCTTTGCAGGAGAAATTAGATGAGAAAATAGAACAGAACCTGTGCAGCCCTGGAACCTCCTTGGTGCAGGGGAAAAGCCTCATTCCCCATACAGCTTGTGAAGAGAGAAGCTGATTTAAACACTTCCCTTTATTCACTGCACTTAGATCTGTGCCAACGTGTGTTTTAACTTTATTAATATTGCAGTAATTTAATTATTAATAGAAACGTGTGCATTAATTTTTAATATTATATGAATATTGATATTACAGAAATGCTATAGAATAATGTTGATATCCCACCACACTGGAGGCATTTCCATATTTATTGCCAGATTTTGGGCTAGCAGAGAAGCCTTGCAGGAAAAGGCACCACCACATATAATGAGCTGCTGCCTTAATTTGACTAGGTGCTTATTAGGAAAGGGGAAGCAAGGTGTTTGAGGGTGCACAGCTGGCTGAGCCAGCACACATTTGTGAGCCTGGGGGCCTGCAGGGAAGGCTCTGCTGCTGAGCACCAGCAAGCCCAGCTGAAACTCAGCTTCATCTGCATCCTCCTGCCCACCGTTCACCCCTGGAAAATTCAGTGTGTTACAGTGGTGACACAAAAGTGACTTATTCTGGTTGTGCAGCAAGGGGGGGAATCAAATCTGAGTGAGTCCATACAGAAGAGTCAGGTCACCCTAACCAAATACTGGTTTTACAGAACTAGTAACTGAAAGGAGATGAACTGGCTGTAATTCATTGTGGTGTTTGGGAAGATAAAAGGTAATAATGCATACCTCTATGGAGAACGCTTTAAGGTAAGAGAAGTGATTATTGTTGGTATTGTTAGTTGTAGTGCTAGTCAAACAGTCGTTTGAAAACAGGAAACAGTGGTCTTGTTGTGACCCCAAAGCTCTAGTGTGTTTGAAGGTCATGTAACATTCCTTGTCAAGAGGGACTGAGCTCATTTTCTCCATCAGCACAATCCACCAAACCAAAGGATGATAGCAGCAAGTGTGACCTCAGACCAAGTCCTTGCCAGCACCTTCCCCTACCCCAACAGCTCCAGGATTTGTTCTTTCTGCACAGATGGATATTCAGAAGAAACAGAAGGTGCTAAGAATCCCTTGATTTAAACAAGATGTCTCAGGAGTTTGATCCTGCCATTGTGTAACATGTTTTCCAGAAGGAATTAGAAAATTGCAGAAAGAGACTAGACTGTGCAAATGCAAGAGGATTTTGATAACAGCAAAATCAATGTGCCTTTCTCTATTATGTAGATATGAAATGGCATACCAGCAGGGGTACAGCCATTAGACTGATCAATAATTCTGAGCACAGGAATGGAGATGAGTTTAATGCACATCAGCAAATCACCTGTGGTCTCTCAAGGAGAGTCTTGTGTGCAGCAGGACACATTCCAAGGATTTGGCAGGGCAGGTTACCCCGTGTGGCATGTCTGCCTTGGAGGATGGTGGCAGCCTTTGGGTCACTCTGCCTGGTCATCGGGGCTGGGAAAGGTTGGATGTGAAAAGCTGAAGCTGAGTAGTCCTGGTGCGCTGAAGGGAGGAGGATGGATGGCAGGTTGTTCTGTGACAAGGAGTACAATGGTGACAGCAAAGTGTGCAGCTGAGGAGGAAAGAGCAATGTCACCACAGAGGAGAGGTGTAAAACCCCCTGTGGCAGGGGTTCCCCAAAAATCTGAGTGTGAGCTGCTTAGCGGGGCGGGAAATGAAGGCAAGCACAATGTCAAAAGGATATGAAGTCTCCTCTGCAAAACCTGGGAAACTCTGTGCATGTTAATTGTGTGCCAGGAGTGCCCAGAGCACCCCAGACTGATGCAACATTGTACTGTGGCACCAGGTATCAGTGTGTTACACTGTCCCTGTCCCCAGAAGTTTACAAATCTCCCAGACCATATAAAGCAAGTGGCTGTGCTGTACTTAGCCTGTACCTGCACTGCTGCAGCCTGAGCCAGCCTGGGATGCAAAGCCTGCCCTGCATCCCAGCACATGGGCCACGGAGCCCTGTAGAGCTCTGCACTGCACTGCTTGGGCAGTATCTCTCTTCCTAGGCTGGGAATTCCACCAGGTCTCCCCAACTCTGGTGCCGTGCCTCTGCCACAGCATTGTAACACACAGAAAGGATTAAATCTGCTTTCAAAACATAATGTGGCTTTGTAAATCCCAAGGCACTAATGCAGAGTAAAAATATGGTCTGGTTCCAGGCCAGCAAGCTGGGCTGGGTTTTCTTTATTTACTTTTTTCTCCTGCACATGTGATTGCACTCATGTCATTTCATGCAGAGATTTGTGGGCTCTTTCACCGCAAACCGGCAGATGTGGCTCTTGCTGCGAGGAGTTTGCAAACCAGCAAAGCTGATATTAATTCCTGAGGGTGCAGGATTCATCCTTTATTTACTCCTCCAGGCTACATGGGATCCCAGGCCACAGAGCACACCTCTGACCTCGTTCATGGGACCAGAAGGGTCAGCTCAGGGAAAAGCACTGCCAACATTGTCACTCTTTCCAAACGTTTCACCGCATCCTGTAAAATTGGTATATTTTTAAGATTTTCCTCCCCAGTTTCTTTTCTCACATGGATAAAACCTTGACAGAAAGGTCCCTCACCCCTTCAAATCCAACAGCAAAATTTTCTGACTGTGGTGGTGTCCTATCCAGTTCCCTTCCCCACCCTTTCATTAAACTCCCCAAAGCTGCTAAGAAGCCTTTCACACATTGCAACAGAGCCTTCAACTATTTGGATTTGGTTTACATCAGCACTTAGGCTCAGACAGATATTGCACAAACAGTAAAAAATGTC